CACATTTATTTTTTTTTTTTTTTTTTTTTTTTTTTTTTTTTGATACAGGGATTGAACTCGGGTCCTTGTGCTTACAAGGCAGGCCACCAAACCACTGAGCTAAATCCCCGGCCCCTTGTATTTCTTCTTTTCTCCAATATTGAGGATTGAACCCAGGGCCTTTGCAGTGAGCTACATACCCAGCCCTATTTTATTTTATTTATTATTTATTTTCCAGTACCCAGGATCGAACTCAGGACCTTGTGCTTGCCAGGCAGGCACAGCACCACTGAGCTACATCCTCAGCCCTATTTTGGGGTTTTGTATTTTTTTGAGACAGGGCCTCACTTTGTAGTTCCGGCTGGCCTTGAACTCACTATGTAGCCAATGCTGGCCTTGAACTCATGGTGATCCTTCTGTCTCAGCTTCCTGAGTCCTAGAACTACAGGAGTGTGCCACCATGTTCAGCTAATCTGTACTTCTTAATCTCTACGTCACAGCCACCATCTAAGGTTCCCAAGGCATTATATAAAGTAGTCAGGTCACCTTCTGGTCTGCCCCACCACTAACAGGGCTGTATTTCTAAATTCTTATAGTCTCACTGCCCAGATCTCGATTACAAATCTCTTCTTTCATCTCTAGTGCCAGCAGCACTCTAATGCTGTGTCTCCCTCCCATACGGTCCCACGCTACTTACACAAGATGCTGATCTCGGATCTTGCGCAGCTGGATCAGGTCAGGTTTGATACTATTCATTTTTTTATCTATTTCTCGGTTGTCCAAAGCTTGTTTCTTCAAATCCTGCTCTAGACGCATTTTGCTATCATGAATTTCACCCAGTCTTGATTTCAATTTATCATAATTCATCATAATTCTGTGAAAATATTTGACATATTAAGGCTAAAATACCAACTAAGCAGAGGACCCTATCACAGAAACATGGTCCCAAATATCCTTCTTTTTTTTTTAATAAGAGACAGTCTTGCTAAGTTGCACAGGTTGGCCTTGAACTCCTGGACTCAGGTGATCCTCTTGCCTCAAATTCCCAAGTAGCTGAACTATAGGTACATGCCACAGTGCATAGCTACTGCACTAATATCAAGAGTGTAGCGGACATGTTGTTTTTTACTGGTCCATTCCTATTCTAGTAATAGCACCCTGATGGTCCCTGCTGTAGGTAAGGGTTCTCTGCCCTCACACACACACCCTAGACTGGCCAAGATTATTTCATTACAGGGGTGGGGGTGTAGCTCAGAGGGGCTATGCCTGCATGGCAAGCGCAAGGTTCAATTCCTGGTATGGGGGTAGTAGGTATTCCATTTCATCCCATCCCTGCCCTCAGGCCAAAAAGACTGGTTCAGTAATGAGAATAAGACTCCAATTGATCCAAAGAGTGTCTATTCTAGGATATGGAGTTTATTTGTTTGATTGGTTGGTGTGGTTTTGGGTGTGTGTGTTGGGGGGGTGTTTATTCTTTTGAGACAGCATTTCGCTATGTAGACTATCCCTCTAGTCACTGTGTGTCTAGATCAGCCTCAAACTCATAACTATCCTCCCGCCTCAGCCTCCTGAATACAGAGATTACAGGCATGTGCTACCACCTCCAGCCTTGCTTTTTGTTTTGTTTTTGTTTTGAGGCAGGCTCTTACTATGTTGTACAGGCTGGTCTTGCATTCCAGGGCCCAAGTGATCCTCCTGACTCGGTCCCTTGAGTAGCTGGGATTATAGACATGTGCCACCAAGCCCAGGTAATTAATAAGCCTTTTGTTAGAGTTATTATAGTATACATTATTTAGATTTATTTATATTACTATAAAATTTTTTTTCTTTCCTCTGGGTCTGCTCTGCTATAAATATGTGATTCTAGGGTTCACATCAGTTATACTCTCACCTCACAAGGAAAAGCTGCCTAAGCAGAAAGCCAACTCAGAAAAACTGAGCTAAAAAACAATGCCATAAAGAATCCCAATGACTCCATATCCAGGTATGACTGAGCAGGTAAAATTCTATGTATGCTATTTAAGTGATAGCAGCAGGTAAAAACAGGTTTTTCAGTTAGCTCTGCCTAGGTTTAATCTCAGCCCTACCACTTACTGGAGCTATGCCTTCCTTTCCTCATCTATTTAAAATGAATGCCTATAACAGTGCCTACCTTTGCTAAATTACGATAATACACGTAAAAGGATTAGAAAGTTGCCTGGCACATCTTGGTAAGTACTCAATAAATGATCGTTATAAGCTTTTCTAGCACACAAAGTTTTGCTATGCTCAATCCTTATGGTAATAATTATCCACATTACTCATTTGTCACTAAAAATACATGGTTTACTTCTCATGCATTCTAGTAAGATACTGTCCACTGTTTAAGGAGGAGAAAACAGACTCAGAGAGGTTATGTAACTCACCAAGTTTACAAAGCCAATAAACAGCCAATACAAGATATTCCTTGTTAAACAAACTACCTGTTTAATGACTGTTCAAACTTATGACCAAGGCATGTTGTTTGGACTTACAGCCCATCTTTTTTTTGGGGGGATACAATCCTGTACATCTTTTTATAGAGTTTTAATGTCTTTTTTTTTTTTTTTTTTTTTTTGGTACTGGGGATCAAACTCTGGACCTTGCACTTGCAAGGCAGGTGGCAGAACCACTGAGCTAAATCCCCAGTCCTTTAATGCCCCCCCTTTTTGGTAAAGAGTACATTGTTTATGTAGTACTGTAATTTTTGTCTATACTGTACAATACAGTACTGTAGTTTTATGTTTGGTTATACATCCTAGTATTGAATGTAAGAGTTATGCAAATAAAAGCAAAGTCATCAAGTTGGAGTTTCCTTTGACCATTTCTTTGTTCTGAATATTGTAATGTACAGACTATAATACAATTCCTTATTTAGTGACCAATTCATTAAACAACCTAGTTGCAGGAATCTAGCTCAGTCACTCAACAATGAATGTTTGTGTCTAATTCAAGCCCATCATGGTTTTGACTACTAAGCTAACACAAACTCCCAGCATGTAGTTCTACACTCATACACACAGAAGTTCACTAACAATTGTTATACTAATACTAGAAATATTTTTGCTTTGCCATTACATATGATTTATTTTTATTTACTACCCATTTTTCCATGCCTTTTCACTCTTCAACCCACTATTATCTAATTTGGTCTTCCAATAGTCTGCATTTATTTTGATAAATGCTTTATTTTGATGAAGTCTTTCAATATCATTTTAATTGTCAAATACAGGAAATTATCCTGTTATTTGTTCTGTGTTCTCTCATGCTCAGCACCAATGACCATCTATACACTCATGCCTCCCAAATCCTTTTGTACCCTGAGCTCCAAATCCAAATAACCAGCTGCCTTCCTATCAACAGCTACATGTGAGCTCTCAGAAGAACCTTAAATTCAATGGTTCCAACCCTGAACTCTTTTCATGTACTTCTTAGTTTAGTGAATAGCGCCATCTTCCTCCCAGTTACAAATACCAGAAATCTATGAATAATCTTTGACTTCTCCCACACCTACCGTATCTGATCAGGCATCAAGTGCTCAGTAGTTCTATTAACTCCCTTTTTACCAATGCTGCTCCAGGCCCTCACTATATTTTAACCTGCAGCCACTTGAAGCAGTCAAGTTTATTTTCCTGCGTATACTCTAATTCCATTCCAGTTTATTCTTATCTGCCAAAGTTGGTTTTCAATTCAAAAACTATTTAGTGAATACTCACTATGTACTATGATGAATTTAAGTACCGGGGCCTTATCCAGGAAAATAAACCACTATACCTAATCTCAATGAGTAGGCATGGTATTTAGTAAACTAGGGTTTGGGACTAAACACTGTAAGGGACACCAACCCAAAGCTCCTAAAATGGTCTGGGGTATCAGGTAACATTTTCTAGAAAAAGTCATATCCTTTTTCTAAAGGATGAGCAGAAGTTAATAATTTAGGGGAATGGAGAAAAAACAAAGAAGGTTTAGTTTGGTATTAGTACAAATAATAAGTAGTTCTATATAGCAGGACTTTGCAGTTTGAGAAGGTAAAAGGACACAAGATAGGGATTATGGGAAAGAAAAGTCTGGTCTCATTAATGTACTTAGAGGAATTAAGTAGATTTACCGTTCAATCTCCTTTTCATTCCCCTCTCTGCGAAATCGCTCAATATATTCTTTGCTGTGTTGTTCTTGTGTGTGACACTGTTCTTCAAATATTTTAATTGTTTCATTAAAAGCTTCAATTGCAGTTCTATTCATCTGTATTTCCTGCAAGAGAGAAAAAGAAACACATATTGCATTATCTTTGTTGTTCTTTGTAATCTTGGTCTTAAATCTATTAATTTTAGTTATAATCCTATATAAGACCCATTTAAGAGAGCTAAAACAAAGCCTTTCATTCAATCTATTATTGATACACAAAATACATCATTCAAACTATAAAATAAATTTTAAAAGAACCATTACCTTAAATATGGCTAAGAACAATAGAAAAGTCTCTGAATGGCCAAGAAAGACGGATCCTGAACACCTTGACAAGGATCAGATTCTGTCTTTGCACTATTGTAATGCTGAGCCCCAAAAGTACCAAAGGAGTAAATAGACAGAGGTAACAAGTCAGGGATTTGGCTCAATGGCGCTGCACCTGCATCACAAGTGCAAGGTCCTGAGTTCAATCCCCAGTGCAGGGTGGGTGGCGGGGGTGTGGTGGTGGTGTTGGCCCTATAGAGGCCATTTATTCTTACTTTCATTTCTAAAGCATGTGCTTAGTTTCCCACAGATTCATCAACAGCTATTCTCTTCTTTTTACATTTTTTGCTTCTAATGAGATTAATCTGCCTTTGTAGAGTTTAGTTTCTTATCTTATTCTTCTTAGTGTAAAAAACACACTTTAAAACACACTTCAAAAAAAATACACTTTAACAAAACACACTTTAAAAAAAAACAGCCCAGTAGCCTAAATTGTTCCATGTGTGTGCGTGGTTTGTTTTGGATTTTTTTTTTTTTTTTTTTTTTTTTTT